TCTCTCTCTCTCTCTCTCTCTCTCTCTCTCTCTCTCTCTCTCTCTCTCTCTTTCTCTAACTTTCTGTCACTGGCGCTTCCTTCGCTTTCGCCTGCTCGAGCTCTCTTAACACAAGGGTCCGAGGAGGATGGGCAAGACGACGTCTCAAGGCTTTCTAAAGCCGGCAACTTCTGCCTGAAACTGGCTGCTCACTTCACGTATTGATTTCCATTCTCTTACGCCTTCCAGCGTTCCTCGCCGCGCGTTCTCGCCGTGCGTCCTACGTTCCTTCCGCGAGATCCCTCTTCCCTCCGCCGATCATAATTTCGACATCCTTCGACATCCCCACTGGCCGTTGTAACTCCGCTGAAACTCGTCGAGCTAAGAGAGGAACGTGAGCCGAACGCGTCGCGAGATAACTCACCTACTTTGCCTTCTTTCGGGAAAACATCGATGACATTCTTAAACTTGGCGAACGTCGCAAAGGTACGCGCGTAGTCGGTCTTCGGATCCACCGACTTGTCGCTTTGAAGCACGAGCAATTTCAAGTAGTGGACGAACTTGCGCACGGTTGTCTTGAAAAGTATCAAATTTTTTATTCTTTCCTCTTTTCTCGACAGTGAAAATGAGAGTCTTTCTCGAGTCAAAATTTTTGTTCCATGTGAATCCCATAAATTTCGCCGAATTTGGAGGACATTACTATTGTTGTATCCCAATCCAACAAATAGTCACACATATAATGCCAATCTCATGATTGGCATTTTCATTGGTTCTTCGACGGAATTTGCAGGGTCAATCCAGAGTCAAAATATCGACTCGACCCTTGCTTTCACTACGATTCGCGTAACAATTCGCCAGTTCGGGAATAGTTTTTCAATCGCGGAAAAAGTTCGCGACGCGGATTAAACACCGCGGCGGAATCCACAAGTGAGGAAACGATCGGAGAATCTGCAGGGTGCTCGAAAATCCGCGAGTTATCTGACCGAGTGCGGCTCAGTGGGGTGTGTAGCGTTAAGTTGGCGTTAGCTCATCGAATCGCCCCGGATAGAGCGACCGTCGCCGCCGCCTCCGCTTCTGCCACCTCCGTCACCGCCACCGTCGCCGCCGCCGTCGTCGCCGCCACCACCGCCGTTGCGGTGCCAAGAGACGTAGGTTTGTTTTGATCGATCGCACGTACAAATCGTATTTCCGACCTCGCCTCGCGGGGGGTGACAAATCCGTCTTTCCTTATTTTCCCGGCGGAGGCGACGGCCGAGAGCCACGAATTACTCCAATAATGCTCGTCCTGTCTTGTCCTTTTCACGCCCGCTTTGCACCAATCCGGCCGGGAAACTACGTCAAGTAGCAAATGAGGTGCTTATCTTTTTCATTACTTTTCGTTAGAGAGTAAGGGAGAAAGAAAATTGTCGCGCTTTCGTGGCCCGCTTCCTCTCCACATACTTCGCGCACACTGAGAGAAAAAATGATTATTCTAAGACTAAAATTATAACTATTTTTGGTCCCAATCTATATCTTTTGGTTGTTCCAACACAAGAATGGTAACATACAAATAAAGTTATCGTTATAGTAAAATTGAATTAAAAAATGTTTTTTTTTTTACCATAATTTACAGTAATTATTTTTCTATGTGATTATAGTTACAAATACCAAACAGATATGTGTAGTTTCCTCTTGTTACGTCCGCGATCTGCGCGAACGGCACGTGTAATTCTCACGACTCTCATAAAATTTTTTAGCTGCATATTTGCGAATGGAACTTTGGCGGAGCTGCGAAACCGGCCGGTGAGATATCTACGGGATAGTATTTAACAAAGTTTTCACGATCGCGCGGGGGATGGGGTTAACGCTTCAAACGTGTTCCGCAACTTTCGAACTAACGATGGTCTCTTAGCCGTAATTCCTGACGAGAGTTTCCAAAGTTTGGCAAATCGTCGCGTTTCCGCACATTTGTCCTGCTCCGTCCCGTAAAACGAGGCAGCGCGTCTCCTCGTAGTTGTCGCGAGTAATCGTGCAAGTAACTTAGCGACCACATTTTCGAAATTACCCTCGCAATTGTTCCCGTCAGTCTCTTCCTGTTTATAACGCAAATGACACTCGCTCATATTATTAGTATATGTATATGATTATTATGACTAACATTATTTACTAGAATTTGAATTCAAAAAGTGATTTTTTCTTGATTATAATTTACAGTAATTATTTCTTGATAAATAAGACAGTAACCGCGAAATCTCTAGATCTCCATCGCGATTAATTTTCTCTCGGCCGTAATTGTGCGTGAGTCGATACACGTGTTACGTAGCCAAAGCCTCGCCCGAATTTTCCACCGGGAAATCCACTCGGCGACTTTTCGCCGAGCAGGTGGCGGGAGCGGAACGTCTCCTGAAGAAATCCGGAAGTTTGGCAAATCGTTCGACCTCCGCTTTACCGCGCGGAGCCGGCTGTCAGCACGACATCTCGCCGACGAATCAACCCCCTTCGTGCGGAGCTGCTTTTACGCGTAAGGGACGACGCGACGGTGAAGGGTGGCGCGCACGCGGGCGGACGAGAACGCAGGGGTGGCGAAATAAGAATAAGAAAGGATAGCGCCCGGCTCTTTTCTACTCTCTCATTCTTTCTTCCGACGAGTCAAGAGAGAGAGAGAGAGAGAGAGAGAGAGAGAGAGAGAGAGAGGGAGACGGAGAGAGAAGGAGAGACAAAAAGAGAGGGTGGAAGAGGAGGAAGTATAGAAGGCGAAGGAGGAAGTGGAGGAGAAGGAGGTGGCGGCGGGTTCTCCTGAAGCATTGATCGTTTCTGAATTCCGAGTAGATGGCAACCCCCGGGCGGTTCTTCACCCTCCGGCCTTTCTCCCTCGGAGCCTCAATATACGTACTCGTCTTTCGTACGTTACCGCGACGAAAGAGGAAGAGCAAAAATATGAAAACGCCAGAAAGAACACGGGGAAGGAGGCGATCGGTGGTGAGCGAGGGAGAGAGAAAGCACGAAGGTCGTGTCTCGGGGTGCGCTCTTTAAAACGGTTCCCATGCTCGTCCGAAACAGATAGAACTCGTGCGCTTTTGATCCTGCCGTTTTCGTCTCGCCGACGCACGGCTCTTATTCAATTAATTCGTAGTTCCCACGCAAGAAGAAACGGTGTTTTTCCTCGCTCCCCGGTGCGTAAAATTGCTAAAAAATATTGCGATCTTCATTCGCCGCCGAATTGAGCAAAAAAGTCAAATCTCGCCTCCCAAGGCGAGAGAATCATTTTAGAAGAACAATCAACAGGGTTATCGAGACATCTCGCGTCGCGCCGATCCGTTTGCGCGCGGAAGTCTGTCTCGCAGTTATTCGTAAACGTTATCTCGTGCCTCCGTGCGGTCCTCCGTGAAGTATCGAACATTCCTCCGCATACCATCGTCATCGTCCCCGTCGTTACCATCGTCGTTGTCGTTTCCGCTTGTACCGTGCCGCTGGGAAACGCTGA